GCTTCTCATGCGTATATTATCAAATTCATGTTCAATGTCATCAAATTAACATTTTAAAATTTAAATTTGGTTGCTAAAATTAAATATTAATTTGATGTTAAATTGATAAAATTATTGTTACCATGATGAAATTAATGTTTGAATTAATGATATTTAAAACAATTGATAATAAAATTGAAGAATCAACTTGAGGGTAAATTTGGAAGTTCATTGTAAAAAATGGCATGACATCACTATCCTGTTTGATGTCAGTAACAATAATGATTGTGGGGGTATTATGTAAAATTCATGATAAATTATAAGGGTATATAGTGATATTTAAGAACTATAAGACATGTTCTTGCAATTAGGTCAATCTCAAGGTGATGTCACTAAAATTTACCCTATAATATATGTTTGTAATATCTCACATTAAAATTGTATACGTATAAAATTTTTTTTTTTTGAAATATTTTAGGGTGGGCCCTGGCCCTTGGTGGATCCGCTCTTGACAACGGCTACACATAACCACCACCACCTCCAACGTACAGCTCATGTCGACTAGCAAGTAGCAAGAGGGGCTATTCGACTAGCCTTTGCACAAAGTCAACTTGGCCATTCCTCGGTCGACAAAGGTCTTTCTAATTTGTATTTTTTCTGGGTTGTTTTAGATTGACACGTGTTTATTTGATATGTTGTCATTTTCGATTCATTTTTTTTTTGACGCAATTCTCACTAATGCATTTAAAGACATTATTCTAAATGACGATTTGAATAAAAAAAACTCAATTTGAATTAGTCTTTTCAAATGGCGTTTTAACTCATTAAAATTTGAAATGATATTTTTAAAAAAAAGATTGAATTTAAAAAATAAATTTAAAATAAACTAAATTTAAGAATAAAATTTTAGAAAAGACTGAATTTGGGAAAAAGTTTCAACTAGCAAGCAGCAAGAGGGGCTAGTCGACTAGCCTTTTGGCACATAGTCAACTAGGCCATTCCTTGGTCGACCAGGGTCTTTCTAGGTTGTATTTTTCCCGGGTTATTTTAGATTCACACGTGTCTAGCTGATATGTTGAACTTTTTCCACCATTAATTTGGGAGCAATATAAATATTTGTCTAAATTTTATTTTCCAAATTAATTCAGATGGTTGGATTAGTGAGGTCTTCTAACTCCACAAAATATTCAATACATGATATTTTGATATATCACTTGAGATATAAGATTTGTAAAACAATTTGTGCAACACAACTTTATCTTTAATTTGGATTCCCAATCTATGCTTATGGAGTCTTCCAAATGTCCAGATTTGTCTCACCCTACAATACTTGGTTGATCTTCTTGACTCTTAATGGCTCTAGTGAAGTCTTCAAGGCTTGCCTCCATTGTTCCACGAAGGTAAGTCACCCCTACCTAACTCTCCCTTGCTATCCCTGAGTTCTAGTCCAACCCAACTTGGCTTTAATCCTAACCAGTAGAGGGTCGACCCCTAATCCTGTTGAGATCTACATCGACAGTCCTTATCCTATTGTAAGAACTTGGCTAAAACATCTATAAAGCAAGCAGGAACACAAGTATCAAGCAGGCAATATTCAACTTCCAAAGCATTGAATTCATTTAAACTTCTTTGACCTAAGTAGCAGAGGGTCGTCCCTCGAGCCCATCTGGTTTTCAATTTTTGGTTTAGGTAGATTGCGATCTAGTAAGTTGCTACCTCTATATCGAGGCTATGATATAACCCAAGAAATTGCAAATACAAAAAATCATAGACTTAGCAATCATAAGAAAGGAGATAAAAGAAAAGTGAAGTCACAAGAAAAAACAAATCATGTATATGCATGACATATAAGTGCATCCCCATGCCTTACTCAAGGTTAGACCAATTTAAATTTGAGTAACAACATGACACATAAGTTACAATCTTTTGATCAACCTCATATAAAACAAAGGGAGAACCAAATCTTTGACTCAAATTAATGCTGATTCGAATTCTTAAGTTTGATATTTCAGCCTCCTCTTTGTATCCGTGTACTCTATCTTGATTCAATCTCTGTTTAAACTCATCGATAGGTTCAAAAAACATGACTTAATTGAAGTTCAGATCCTTTACCTTTAATTTCATTTTATACTAAATTTTGTTTTTTAAAATTTTAGCAATCAAGGTGACTAAGCCAACATAATTTAGTACCCCTATCCTACTGAAAATGTACCATCTAATAGGATTTTGATTCTCTGTGCATAATAAATTCTAGCCAAGCGTTCCATACAATGTTTTTGATCTGCTATGGTAAAAGGAGTCCTAAAGTTTTGAATTGCTGAACTTCTTGAGACCCTCATATTTCTCCGATTGAGATCATCAGGCCATCGATGTATTCAGGCATTACTAGAAGAGAGTTACACAAATATATTTTAACTTGTGAATTAACCAAGCATTTTAGTGTGATTTGTGGTTAACCTATCAGCTTTTCAATCTATAATCACATCCAAGGAGTTGATGTAACTAGAAGAATTACATAGCAAAGCCTCTGACTCTGTGGATTCTCCACTGAATGCTTGCTCAAATAGTGCATCTTGAGGAGTTTGACAAGGATCAGGAGGCATTTGTAAATGTTCAACTTCCCCTTCGAGCATCTCCACTACCTTTCTCATTGAAGGACGGCCAACCGGATTTGTCTGGATGCACCATAATGAAACCAAGGTCATCTTCCTAGTGATTTTCTTTTCATCATCAGTTGCTTCTTCAATTTCAATTTCCTTACCTTTATTGAATCGATCGTAAATCCAGAATGGAAAATATTGGGTAGAATTCTCTTCAGGGTGCATCAACTCTGTCTTTAATCCTACCATTTCCATCAACAACATTCCAAAGCTGTAAACATCAGCCTTATATGAGACACCTCCGATACTTCTGTTGATCAATTCTGGGGCTACATAACCTATTGTTCCCCGAGCTGCAGTTAGATTCACAATACTGTTATCAATTGGATACAATTTGGCTAGCCCAAAGTCAGACACTTTCGGAATGAAGTTATCATCTAGAAGAATGTTGTGTGGCTTGATATCAAAATGGAGAATCTGAATATCACAGCCTCGATGCAAGTATTCAATTCCACGAGCCACACCAAGTGCAATCTCATACTTCATCTCCCAGCTCAAGGAGATACTTCCTTCTCGAGGAAGGATATACTTCTCCATCGGCATGAATTCGAACACAAGAGCGCGCTTGGATCTCTCAGCACAATATCCAATTAGTTGCACCACATTAACATGGTGAATCCTTCCTATTGATGCAACTTCATTGATGAATTCTTGCCCATCAGCTTTGGATTTGCCCAATATCTTTACTGCTGCAAGTCGGCCACTTCGAAGCTTTCCTTTGTACACAGTACCATAACCCCCTTCACCCAATTTGTCCTTGAAGCCTTTTGTCATCTTTTTAACCTCTGAATAGGAGTACCTAATGGGCATGAGGTTATTCTGACTTTGGAGAAACCTTTCAATTGCATCAAACATCGACAAATGCCTTCTTCGCAGTTTATAGATTATGAACACAAATATGCTTGGTAACCCAATCAGAAATTTTGCTACAATGTGCAGTCCTGTGCAAGAAAATTAAGAGGAAAGCCATGAGAAACTGATCCGGTGCTGTATCATTAGAACCATGGTTAAAGACGAGCAGTCTAGTGCACTGCTCTTGTACTACTGTAGGATCTAAAGAGGGGCATGTGTACACAGCTTTACCCCACATGCAAAGAGACTATTCCTTTGATTCGAACCCGTAACGCTCAGGTCACAAATGGATCAACCTTATAGCTACGTCAAGACTCACCCTTACTATAACCATGGTTCTTAGTTGAAAAAACTTCTAAACGTAGGCCTTTTTTATACCCTACTTATTTGGTATGTGCAGCACAAAACACATCAATTCTCTACGTGATTACCACCTACACAGTTGGCTAAAGTAACATAATTTGAAGACTGAGGAACTCAAAAATCTTTTTGTACGTTCCTTCACTGTCTCTGTTCACTTTTTATTCAATGAATGGGTTAGGTTTCCCTCTTTTTTCTGGTTTCTATTTCTCTTATTTTCATTCCTTCAAAAGTATCAAAGCAGTTGTGTCTACTGTAGAACATATATTAATAATTAAATTAGAAAAGATGCAGGGGCTTACCTACGATAAACATAATGGCTAGCAGGATATCTGCAAAAATGCCACAAAAGTAATTAAAACAAGAGGATCATGTGTATAAGTTGATAAGCATGAGTTAAATTCAGCTTTGCAAGTAACATAGTTTACATATATTGCAGGGCAGGGTTGAGCCCATGCTTAACAATTTTCGTTTGGACACCATTGTCTAGGCTTTAGGCCCCAAGTCATATTTAGCTTTTTTCTTCCCCATGTAAAGGGAAAACATCCAATCACCCATCTTTTGGACACATGGCCATAAAACAATTATTTGAGTACACATAAATCACCTGGTGATCGCATGCACCAATTTAATTAGAAATTTATATGGTTAGGAGAGTTGAACTTGGGATGTAGTGCTAGCGTACGTTTCACCAATTTATATGTTCCAAGTTAAGTCATGTTGGAATCTGCCTAGGTGGTAGAGAAATAAACATGTAGAGAAAAAGAAAGAATACTTACAGTAAAAGATGGCCAAAAAAATTTCCTTGGTGCCTGTATTGTTCATGTAAAGATTACCATCAGAGAATAAAACAATAAAACATATTAAAAAGGGGAAATTTAAACCGGAAATAATCCCATCAGAATTTGTAACAAGGTTTTTGTTACATAATACAGCTTTATGGGACACTGCTAGCATGTTATGATCTAATAAGCTAAATTGATCTGTCTTTCTACGTATTCTGTTATATATTATTCAGTTTAAAATCATTTGAGATGCTCATTTAGTTTCTCAATTTTTTCATTTAATTAGGTGAACAAGGTAGGAAAATTAATACTGTTATTCTTTGAAGTTTGATTTTTTGTAACACATTGCTCCATAATGTTAGGTTCCAAAAAAAATTGCCGTGAATTTTGATGATATTCTATAATAGATTTTGAAGTTCTATCAATATGTCATTAGTCAATAATGTTTTTTCAAAATTACCCCCTCTTAAATCTGTCTAGTCCAACCCACAACTGTACACTCTCCTACAGATTAAGTGAAATTACCCCATTAGTCTCTAAAGAAATCGATCAGGTAAAGGCGAGGAGAAATTAGAGTAACACACACACACACATATATTTCTATTTTTCGATTTCTTACCGCAATCGGTGGATATCCTGAATGGCACAGCATCGAATAATAGACTCATTGACGCCACAATGAACGACAGACGCAATGGCACTCTGGTATTTATTGCCATTCCAAGAAAGGAGCAATAACCAACTCTGACGCAAACTTTCTGATTGTCGTCTTGAAGGAAGCAATTTCCCAGCTCGCAATTTTCACACTGAGTTTTGAACCAAGAAAGCTCAAACCCATATTCTATGGCGTCGTAGATGTCTGAAAAAGAGATATTATTATGATCCTTAAACGCCCACGATGTCATCACCATTAGCTCTATACTGCACCTCTCTCTCACTTCTACTGCCCTCAAGCCGCTAACATTGACATAAGAGTGTATTCTGGAAGAGGAGGAGAAAGAGGAGTTTGCAGTATAAACTCCATTGATGCACTGTCCTATCTCCAGGTAGAGAGGAGAATCTACTGGATATGGGCAATTCAGAAAAATTATAGGCTTGTTTATCTGCTGTCTAAATTGTCGGATGTCCCATATATGGTTAAAAGTGCTATATGGATCTTTGTCAGTGAAGTTGTAACTGGTTAAAGGATACTGAGGAAGAAAGGAGCAATTATCTATTTTTTGTACAGCAGAGTCAACAAGGCGGATTGTGAAGTTAGGATAGTTGATAGATTGAACGAGGTATTTGCGTTTATGGGATCCCAAGTATAAAACTGTAACATTATTTTCACAAGCAAGCTCATATTTGGGATTACCACAGTATTTTGGATCATCTTTCAATCGGAAAGGGAAACTGATGTTATGGATATTGCCGCAGAAAGAATGGTCACAGTGATGATTCTGCTTACACCAGCATGGTTGAGGGAAGTGGATGAGAACAAGAACTGTGATCAAACCCACAACAATGAGATTTTCTCTCAACATTGGAGGGGAGAGAGAGAGTGACTTTCCAACAAGAATAGAAGCGAGTTTTCAGAAGAGGTGGAAATGGGGCATATATGTAGACGTAAATTTGGAAAAACTTTATATGGAAGACCGTATTATTTATCTTTTTTTTTTTGTCATTTTGGTTATTATGTTTTTATCAATTATGATGACCTGAAATAGAGTAATTAATAATTTCACTCCAATTAATATTTGAACACACATCATGTATGTGGACTTTGGGGGGTAAAGAAAAGGAAAGTAGCCAACATGTCTGTTTTGTGATTCTTAAATGGTTGATTTAACATAATATTGTAAGGGATAATGTAGAAAAATTAATCATTCGGAGGGCAAATTGATAATTTTTCTATCTTTCAAGAGGTAAAATGATATTTTTCTAATATTCAATATAAACAAAGTTATTCATACCAAAATAAGATAAACAAAATAACTAATTTTTAATAATATTAACCGGATAATCAATGGAGAAAAAACTAGCAATTGTTTTTGTCCGATCAATGATCGGATGAAACACTCAAGAATGTCTTTTGGAGTCATAGGGGCAACGAGTTCTTTTTGTGAGCGAAGAATGGAAACTCAAAGAAATTAAAAGTGTTATTTTTTTTTATTGCCTTTCCATTTACCAAAGAGATATTTTTATGGAGACAGTAGGAAAGGAACAACTTTTATTAATCTAATTTGGAAAGAAAAATAGTATACTATTATCACATGGTTAATTGGTCCACATATCTTCTCTTGTACCAATAAACAAATTATGAAAGGAAGGGCCACGTCTATTCGACATATAAAACACTTCGGCAACCATCTTATGGACCCCATGTTATATAAATTACAGGGGGCCATAGGCCCAAGCTATGACTTAGCTGAGTTAGTTCTGTCCCTGTATGGAAGATAATATTATTTTATTTTTATTTATTTCATTTAATTAATATTTAAACATATTTACATCGTATTTGATTTCTCTCCAAATTTAAAATAATTAGTGAATCCTTTTGATTCTTTTTGAATGGTGAAGGTCATTCTATGTCATCAAATTTTATCTCCTTCCCAAAACACTTGAAATTTTAAAATTCAAAAATAAATTAGGTATGTTGACATTAACAAATCTTCACCCTTCAAAAATAATTGAAAGATCCTCAAATTATTTTAAAATTGGAGAGGAGTCTTATCGGGCTACTTAATGGGTGTATGCCATTTAATTTAGAATTCCCAAGTTGAGCTATTGGAGAGGGTTATGTAAAAGTTGTAGGTGGTGTATGTATTGCAAATAGCTTATCAAGAGGAACACAACCACCCATTGATAATTTTTTCTTGAAAAAAAGAAATAGGTATGCAATTGCACTATTAAAGTGGAAACACGAAACCTGCACAGGGTAAGCTAACTGTGTAGAGTTAACTTTAATTTCTCTTCTTGGCGTTTCATCAATATAATAAACACATGTGATTTGCTTATGATTGAAGGTATCGAGGTTTATTTTTTCTAAGTTCAAAGAGAAGGTCTCGGATGTTTTTGTTGTGAGTAAAAAAAAATTCACATCATGTATGACCGAATACTTTTTGTTTTGTTTTGTTTGTTTAATGAACGGATACACCAACTACTTACATGATTACATCGACATTGATTAGTCTTCTAAGGAGCCAAAACGAGAGAGGCCATGAGAAAGGTCTCACCTTATCACTAGTGTGTAGATTGTGGGCATCAACCCTGTTTTAGAGAAAATATTCATTGCAACAGTGACACCATGTCTTCACCGTCACATGGTGTCACCATCCAATTAAAAAATAACGAATAGGTGAAATAGATTCCATTAATCTTATATATTACTGATTGAATGTGATAGTTTAACAAAAAGAAATATGTCCAAGTAACATGCATGGTTTAACAAAAAGAAGTACCTATTGATTAGTGGTGGTATAGGAGTATAAAGTTGTGTGTAATCGATATACGTAATTTGTGATGGATTATATGTATTTAAAAATTTTATGTTATGAAAAATACGTGATTAAGAAATCAAGATTTTCGGTTATAATGAAATCATTAAAAATACTATTATAGATTTGTATTTACAAGTCGATGTATACTCGGTTGTTTCTTCTTCATGAGTGCAGTTAGTGCACCAAAATTTGGAAGTGGATTCATGTTTGATATGTAAGCAGACACTTTTTTATCTTTTCTTCTCACAATATTTTAAAAAAATAAGAGTTTTGTTATAAAAACAACTATATCTAACAAGCCTGGACAAAATTAAAATAAGAGGGAAGTTGTAAGAAAGAAAAAGGTCCCCCACTCTTATTGCTTTTATATGTGGATTGTGAGCATCAACCTATCAACCTCATTTGGTGCCACCATAACAGGCTAAGGCCTGTCGTAACTTGAATATTCAAAGTCAATAACTGAGAAAAAGTTACTGCACGAAGCTTGATTTGGAACTATTCCACCAAAATTTGAAAGAAGTTCTTGCGTGTGCATCTCTATATTTGAAAAGTAAGCAGACACTTTTAATCTCTTTTTTTTTGAAATAAGTGTTTAAGCAAAATATCAATTATGGTACAAAAAACAGAAATATTAGGGTGCGTTTGGTAGGTGCTTTTTTATTGCGCATTTTTTTTGTTTTAACTTTTTACAAAATACTCAAATAAAAACGCATTTGAATTTGTGTTTCTGTTTTATATAGGACAAGTTATTTTGAAGACAATGCCCAAAAACAAGAAATAGAAAAAAGATGTTTCAAGAAACAAGGATATAGAAACAAGCGTGTGGGGCTGGGTTGTTTCTTCTCCATGAGTGCAGTCATTTCAGATAATGACTAATTTGAAACTAGTCCACCAATCCTATCTCCTCTGTATATGTGGATTGTGAGAATCAACCTATCAATCTCATTTGGTGCCAACATGATAGGTTAGGCCTACTGTGACTTGAATAGTCAAAGTAAATCAATGAAAAAAGTCACTACGCGAAACTTGATTTGAAAAAAAAGTAAACACTTTTAATTTTTTTTGAAATAATTTTTTAAGCAAAATATCAATTTTGTTTAAAAAACCAGAAGTATTACTTTACAGAAGCGATTTACATGCATATTTGTGTATAAATAATATACTTATATATATATATGTGTGTGTGTGTGTGTGTGTGTGTGTGTTATATTATGTTGCATGTAATTAAGCATAGAGAAAGATAACAAATCTGGACAAAACGAAAGAGACAAGCTATGAGGGAAAAGAAAGGTCCTACCTTTATCACCTCAACGTCAATTGTGGGCATCAATTTATCAAGTCATTTTGGTACCAACATGACTGACTATGCCCGTCGTGATTTAAATAGTCAAAGTCAATCAACAAAATAAGGGTAGTCAAGTACAAAACTTCTTGTAACTTATGTGTAACACGATTCTCACTCCCCTTTGATGAATAATTAATTGAAAGATAATTAAATTATTTTTCAATAGTAGGATTTATCCAAATCAGTAAGTTTAATTTATATTGAATTATCAATTTTAATTTACATTTATCCAAATTAGTAAGTTTAATTTTTGTTGAATTATCAATTTTAATTTATATTTTGAATTAATTGCCAGATTTCTGAATTCTCATAAACCCCTCTGAATTCCTTCTAATTTATGTTAAATTGTCAATTGCAACAACGAAAGTGAACATATAAAACATTTGAGGGCAGTTTTTGCAGCTTTATGATTGACAGTTTGGTGTTCATACCCATAGCACTAAGGGAATTTAAATGTATTGGGAGAAGATTTAGGCAATTCAAGAATACCTATTGCAGACAGTTAGTGAGGTTTTCAGTTTTCATGTCCTGTAACCTTCTATCGGAGGTTGATGAGGAATTTCAACACTATTGCAGCACCCCTTTCTAAGTACTTGAAGCAGATGTAATTGTAGTGGACTGATGAGGTAGCAAGGAGTTTTCAACTGCTCAGGGAAAAGCTCATTACAGCTCCTGTGTTAGCACTACATAACTTTGAGAAGCTATTTGAGGTAGATTGAAATGCCTTTTGCACTAGTATTGGATCAATTTTGTCACAAGAGGGCATACCAATAGCTTTCTTCAATAAGAAGGTTAGTAAGGCGAGACAGAAGTGGTCTACTTTTGAATAAGAGTTTTATGTAGTTGTCAGAGCTTTATACTTTTAGTAGCATTATCTCATTCAAAGGGAGTTCATTTTGAATGTCAACCATATAGCATTGAAGTACTTTAATAATTCTACCCAATTGTATGCATGCTCGGCGGGTGGTAGAGATTGAGAAATTCACTTTCACCCTTAAACATAAGTCTGGTCAGCTGAATAAGGTGGCAGATGTATTGAGCTGGCGTACTATGTTGTTGACCACCATTCGTAGTGAGGTGATCAACTTTGACTATTTGAAGAAGTTATATAGAGGGGGTAACGACTTCCAATAGGTTTGGGCTCAATGCTCAAATACACATGGAGTCTCAGGGATTTTCAGATCCATGAGAGTTTTTTTGTTCAAATTCACCTGGCTTTGCATTCCCTGAATATCCTTACATGGGTATATCATTTGGGGCTTCATAGTGGTGCTTTAGAGAGATACATGAACAAAGATAATAGTGTTGCTTTGGTGGGAGAGTATTATATTTAGCCCCAATTGAAGATATGTGGAGAGGTTTGTTCATTAGTGCTACACATATTGGACTGCAAGAGCACATGCACAAAATAGCGAGCTCTACATTTCTCTATAGGGGCGGAGCCAGAAATTTTGTCTAAAATAGACAGTAGGAAAATTTTAATTTTTTTTTTCTCCCAATCAATAAAAATAAAATTTAATGCATTGTATTTGATACTTAAAGATTCATAAAATACAAAAAAGGGTCAAACGTCGATAAATATAGCATATGTGAATTAAAAAAATAGACTAATTCC